CCAGAGCATCCCCCGTGATAACCTGTGCCCTACCCGCACCTGTAGGAGCGCGATTCGATGCTCAGTTCACAGTCGGGAATAAAAAGACCACTGGGCAGGTTGGAGTTCGTTCAGTGATGTCAATGATGCGGGCGAGAAGGTCTTGCAGACATGTGCACGGTATGAACAATACCTCACTGGATGAACAAGTGAACGGACAAGATGGAGAGACTTCTATGTTTTTCGCCATCCTCCAGAGGCATGTTCACCTTGTGTGTGTAAGTGATATCATCTCGTATCCACTACACTCGCATTCTGCAGCTTCAAGATGATAGACTGCTTCATTCTGCGACGTATCATTGTTACGTTGTGAGATAATTCTAATACGCGGACCCGTCACTTCCTTGCCGAGCTTGGTTCACCACCAATTCATCTGCGATGCGACTAGAGCGCATCAGAATCAAGTCTGAACTTTGCTCATCTCATTCTGCACATAGCAGAGGGAGCGATTTCGCAAGCGGGTGGATCTTCCACGAAGAATTCATCAATACAACGGAGGAAAAGCACACTAAAAATAGCTCTTTGAGCGATGGAACATGAATCAATCGACTTTTAGCAGTCTCATTCTGATCTGAATGTGTTCGGGAGTCTTTCAAGTGATGTCGACTGATGAAGCGCAAGCTGGTTCAGGGTAGGCGACTTCAACACAGGCAAGACTCTCGATTCACTCTATCACGCGGTTCATCATGATGGTGGTCATGACCGGTGGGTTATAGACGAGACTTCAATTGACAGAGGAAAGAATTTCTCTCCATAACAGACGAATCGCAACGTATCCGTAAACAAACTGACACCCCAGCAGAAACAGTTTCAGTCTTGGCGTTTCAACGACTTCTGTTACACTCCACGTTTTACCCACCCAAGTGATGAACCTTTCTACTTCTCGAGGTGCCAAAAGGGCTCATGGCACTGAATAAAGAACATAACATCGAAAAAGAGTTCAGTAGTAATGCCCTGTGATATTCTACATGTACTTCTTATCGATTAGTTAAAGTCTTGAGAGCCTTTGGTCTAGAGCAGAAACAAGTGCCGATGAGTTTCAGAATTGGTAGCGTCAATCAATCAACCGGATCCCGATCACGATGTAACTCTACGATCTCCCATCTCAGACACACAGACTAACTCACGCAAGTGATCCAATAACAGCTCATACCAAATATCGAACAATTCCTCCGTGAAATTTCTCCGTCTCCCACCACCGCATGAAACTCTAATCTGTCGATACACCCACCAAATCACCACCACCATCACCACCACAATCTAACCAACACTCGATCCTCTCGGTTCGATCGGGCCATTCCAAACGGCCCCTCGCACCAATCGAGTTTGGCTCGACCGTTTTCCATCATGTCGCCCCCCGGCCGTTGGCGTGGTCACCCCTGTAAGCACCCCCGGCTGCGAAATTAGAGGGATCGTGGAAGCGTGTGTCAGCCCTACCGAAGGAGGCTTCTAGACCTGTTTGTCTGTTGTCACCAGAGGCGTTCATTTCATGCTGCAGGAGTGAGATTGGATGATGTGCCGGGGATCCGGTTAGTTTAATTGTACGGAGTAGAGTGCTAGATAATAAGCTCGTTCTCGCTCTTTGATCTAGAGTTGTTACTTTTGACACTTTCTCCCATTCAGTCACTCATTCTTTGACACCGAATCTCGACGGTTCCGGTTCAGTTCGTTCGTTCATTCATTTCAAGTAAATTCACTCTTTTTGTATCAAATCTCAGTTCTTGGCAAGCCCCAAGACAATCACTTAGCATCCATTCAACATCTGAAACTTGTTTCTATCAATCACGATGAAGTTCTTCCTCCCCATTCTTCTCGCAGCTCCAGCTGTCATGGGCCGAGCCTGCAAGGTCCGACACTCGCACTCTTCTGCGGTTGAGCCCGTCCACACTCAGTACCCTGTTCCCGAGCCTGTCGTCTCCCAGGCCCCTCAGGTTGTTAGCCAGAAGTCTTCTCCCGTCGAGGTCAAGACTGCTCCTTCCAAGCCCAAGACCACCAAGTCCAAGACTACCAAGCCGAAGAAGGTCTCTAAGCCCAAGGCCTCTAAGCCCAAGACTACCAAGCCCAGCACCCCCAAGACATCTACTCCTAGTACCGGCTCCGGCTCCGGCTCTGAGTCTACACCTATCGGTAACGGTGCCTCCGTCTCTGGATCTTCTACCTTCTACGGTGGCAACCTCGCTGGTGGAAACTGCATGTTCTCAACCTACACCCTCCCCTCTGGTATCCTCGGAACTGCCTTCTCTGGCCAGAAGTGGGACAACGCCGCCAACTGCGGTGCCTGTATCGAAGTCACCGGTCCTTCAGGCACCATCAAGGCCATGGTAAGTCCTCCACACTAACAAGAAGTACTACGCTGACTCCATCAGATCGTCGACAAGTGCCCCGAATGTGATCCCGGCCATCTCGATCTCTTCCCCGACGCCTTCAAAGCCGTCGGCGGCACAGACGGCATCGTCAAGACCTCGTACAAGTTCGTCGAGTGCGGCATCACCACCCCCCTCGTGCTTCACAACAAGGAGGGCACTTCCGCCAACTGGTTCTCCATCCAGGTCGTCAACGCCAACGAGCCCGTCAAGAGCGTGCAGGTCTCCACGGATGGCGGTAGCACCTGGAAGAGCACTGAGCGCAAGGACTACAACTTTTTCGAGAACCCTGCTGGTTTTGGCAAGACTTCTGTTGATGTCAAGGTTACCAGCAGTACTGGAAAGAGTGTTGTCGTTAAGAATGTTGGCGTTACTGCCGGGGCTCAGTACAAGGCCAGCTCCAACTTTTAAGCTGGTAGTGTAAGCCTAGGTGTTGAGCGGGCGAGAGTTGTGTATCAGAATTATGTGGCGCGTTCATGTGCTGGAGTGTTTGGCAGCAAGTGTAGGTTGGGCGGCTGGCTGCTTTGATCGAAAACTTGTTGATGAGAAACTTGAGCATTGAAAGAACGTGTGACTGAATGATGATGTGAGATGGGAGTATAGTTTCTTCTTCAAGTACATATTAGACATGAGGACTACCCTCAAAGAATTGAATCAGGGTGCCAAAATAAGCTGGCCTAAAGACTTTCTACATTATCCTAAGTTGACCTAAGCCTACCTGAGTCTTTTCCACATATAGAAAAGAAGTGGTTGGTTTTATTGCCTCCCCTTGTGAGCTAACGGTGCGATTTTACGGATGCACAAGTCTTCAAGACACTTCAGCGGAGTCGGCCTCGACCAGCTCGTAGACGTCAGCCTCATCATGATACCAGAACGGTGAGTTTCCATGACCGCTTCAAAGCCCTGACAATGGGTATATGTCCGATCACATTTTAGAGTTCTGTAGAGGTATTAAAAACAGTGACCGGGACTTTGAGGGGAGAACAGTGGGCTCAAGGTGTCGCTCTCGGCTGCAGAGCGGACGCAATGCAACCTCAGACGCCGCGTGTCCGTAAACGGCAATTAAAGCCTGAGAGTGGTTGAGAGTTCAATGCTGAGGCGGACTTTGAGGCTTTGAAATCCGTTTACTCTGGCCACTTCAATTGAGTATGTTCGGAGACAACCTACAACGGCGTCGGACCTCAGTTCTGACCGTGTATTGCTGGAAGAACACATTGGGCCATCAAGACATTTGAGTAATGTTCAAGATGAACGGAATGACATCATGCATGAATGTGCCTCTCGTTTACTGCAGATCAGATCGGAGAATAACTTGACATTGAACTATAGCCCGGATGCTACAAGACGAAGCAATGCTATGTCGACTCTTGAGATGACCCAAGAAGGAGGAAGAGAGTGCTTACAACCACCCACACATACGCAGCCGTGACTTGGCTATGATATTACCTGCATTATAGTCCCCTCAACTGCCGAGTCTGTCCATTGATTGGCGATGACAATCCATGTCACTTCGGCCGAGAGATCGGGTCCGGAAGCGAAGCGAAGCGTTTAACATTACCGCCTCAAAAGATCTCCATCGTTATAACCTTTCGGCCAAACGTACGTCCAGCGGGGTCCCGAGGCTTGCGTCTTAAACAAACGTCATCTCTACCGGTATCTTCGAATACTAATCACATGAGGGATGTACATACACGTCCAGTATTACGAATCCTCCGGACGCAATTTCAAATACGGCACCGACGGATACCGAGGTTTTGAGTCTGTCCGTCGGAGGGATTACCAAGACTGAACAAAACAAGAGACGGAATTGGGAGAGCCAAAAAACTGCAAAATGCCATAGTGATGCACCATTGGACGCCCAGCATGAAAGCTGAGTTTCAATCAAGGCCCCAATTACCCCCTAAGGCGAAGCGTCCGAACCTCGGCACTACACTGCTTACGACCGCCGGACACGTTTTCTCAACATGGACAGAGCTGAATCACATCCTCCCCAGCTTTTTTCTTTCTGGCGGCCGGTGCGTTCCCCACCGCCGGTCGATCCCCGAGGGCGCCGGTGCCGAACGGTTTACACTTGACGGGGATATGTCCTCATGGGAATAGCGTCCCGCGTCCTAGCGCTTTTTTCTCAGTTGGCAGTGGGAGAGCTGACCCAGACACCGCTCTAAACCTCACGGAGATAACAACCCCAGAGAGACAAGACATGCCGCACTAGAGAATGTGCTAACTTAGCTGTCTGCTCAAAGGACCGTGAGTGAAAAAGTGAGGTACTAAAAGGCGTGAGCCCCCGGATTGTTGAGACTGATCCGAACTACTAACTAACTATATTCTTTTTTGTTTACTTATTCAGAGGACGAAAAGAAGTGTGATACGCTCTGTGTTTATCATCGTGAAAAAAAGATACATATACGCCACTTGTATAAATACTGGAAAGACCGACTGTCTCATAACTTGTCTTACACTACTTTAGATCGAGAGACACAAACCTGCTGCTCAACATTCCACAACACAACACCTTACACCAACATCAACACCAACACTACCTTGCACAAGCCAACCCTACCTACACCAACGAAATAACACCATCACAACTGTTTCACAATGGCCCGTGATAACCTCTCCATCGTGCTCGCCGAACGTCCCACCACAGACATCATCCCCGGCCAGACCTTTACCCAAAAGACATCTCCAGCCCCCACGCCAGCTGATCTCCAAGATGGTCAAATCCTAGTTGAGACCCTCTACCTGTCCCTTGACCCCGCCATGCGAGGCTGGCTCCGAGGTATACCTCCCCCTTCTCAGTAACCTCTCCCCGCCACTAACAGCCCCAGACATGCGATCTTACCTCCCTCCCGTTCAGATCGGCCAAACCATGCGTGGTTCATGCGCATGCCGCGTCCTCGCCTCCAAGAGCAAGCAGGCCAAGGAGGGCGACATCGTCTCCGCCCTAACAGGCTGGACTGAATTCGCCATTCTGCCCGAAGGTCGTTTCGAGCCTGCGTCTTTGTACCCCGGTCTCCAGGACCCCAAGGACATGCTTTCTGCTCTTGGAATGACCAGCTTGACTGCTTGGGTTGGCATGTCCAAGATCGCTGACCCCAAGCCCGGTGAGCTCGTCGTCGTGTCGGGCGCTGCTGGTGCTACTGGAAGTGTGGCGGGTCAGATCGCTAAGCTCAAGGGTGCGAGGGTCGTGGGTATTGCGGGTGGTGATGATAAGTGCAAGTGGCTCACTGAGGAGTTGGGCTTCGATGTTGCGCTGAACTACAAGGCGGACGATTTCAAGGAAAAGTTCGCCGAGGCGACAAAGGACTATATCGATGTCTACTACGACAATGGTTAGCCTCACCCGAATCTTCAAGCACGACAGAACTAACATATCTTAGTCGGCGGCGATATCCTCGACATGTGTCTCATGCGAGCAAAGGAACACGCTCGTTTCATTGAGTGCGGTCTCGTCAGCCAGTACAACGCCGCCAAGCCCCAGGGCCCCCGAGCATTCTCCCAGATCGTCACCATGCGCATCCGAATGCAGGGCTTCATCGTCCTCGACCACGTCAAGGACTTCCCCACTGCCCGTGCTGAGCTGGCTCAGTGGATCGCGGAGGGTAAGCTCAAGAAGACCGAGACTGTTGTTCGTGGTGGTCTTAAGGTCGCTGAGCAGGCTCTGGTCGACCTTTACAAGGGTATCAACACTGGAAAGTTGATCGTTGAGATTAAGAACCACAATGAGACCCCCTCGAAGCTGTAGAGGGTAAGCCCAAAAGATAAGGATTGTCGTTTGTGATATGTACACTTGAGAGTTGATTGTTGAATCAGGAATGATGAGACCCCCCCGAAAGTAGGGGAGGGAATGGGATTGTTTATGAGATACTCCGTACCTTGTCGGTAGTTAATGATATGCCATGATTTATGGACAGACTGTTCAGTGTCCACTGCTGCATGTCGCTAGGTGCTTGTTCAAGACTGCGTATCTGAACAAACTCCTGTCGTGTATTGATGCCCTTATAGACCCCCGGCAACTTTTCTCTATCCCTGTCTATTGATACCCCATTCTATCAGTAAACGTAACGAAAGTAAGGGTTCTCCTTATCAGTCAAGTCCTGGAACGCCAGCTTCGCTCTCTCACTCTCTTCTCCCAACCCCAGAGCATCCCTCCTCTTGTTCTCATTCCTCAGAACAAAGTACAGCGTAGTCGACGCACAAATACAAATGATGTAACTAAAACAGTCAGCAACGAACCAAGAACAATGTCAACAAGACTTACCAGATAATCAGCCCCAACCAAAGAGCAGGATAATGATCCTTCTTCGTCTGACTCCAAACAAGCTGCGGTCCAACAATATTTCCCACACAATACGCCACAAATATCGTAGCAGCCATAAAACTCTTCTTCGTATGACCCGCAACATTGGACATTCCAATAGTGATTATCAGACTCACCGTGCCCCCAAAGAATCCTGTAATTGAGTATCCCACCACCGGCGCAGCAGCGCGGTAACTCCACTCACTCTTCCAGATGATGGCACAACCTGCGATGACGGGGAGACATGTAAAGATGAGCATGAAGATGCGGATGTTGGTGAACTTGGAGCCTAGCCAGCCTGTGAGGAGAATCACGATGAAGCACAGTCCGCCGAGGGGGAACTGGAACAGGATGGAGTGCAGGGTGCTCCAGCCGAAGGTCGAGACGATGAGGGGTCCGAAACCGCTTACAGCACCGTTAACGGTATATGCTGATGCCATCATCAGTGCGACAAGCCAGATCTTGACGTCGAGTATGGCTTCTTTGAGCTGCGAGCTTTTGAACTTGGTGCAGCGCACACCAGTTTGTCCGTGTCTCAAACGCTCAACAGCAGCGAAGCGTTCCTCAGAAGTGAGGAACCAAGCTGACACAGGCGAATTCGGCATAATGAAGCAGAACAGTCCAAAGAGAAAGGTGAGAGATCCAGCGAGGAGATAGATGTACTGCCATCTCTTCAATCCCCCACCCGTAATCTGCGCAAAGCCATAGTTCATCGCTCCACCAATAATGGTGAACAGTCCCGTCGACGAGAACCACCAACTCTGTCGCAGCGACTGCTCAGATTGCGTATAGTACCCCGAGACAATACACATGAACCCAGTAGGGATAATACTCTCTACGAAACCGAGGAAGAATCGCTGCACGTATAAACCTTGGTAGGACGTCACCGCAGCAGTCAGCATGCAAATAGCAGCCCACACAACGACCACGCCGCCGAGAACACGACCGATGTTGAACCTCTGAAGAGCGAATGTCATGGGATACAAACCCGCCAGCATTCCAAAGTAGAACAGCGACGTTGCCCAGCTTAGGCGACGAGTGTCGACTGTTGGCGGTGTAGTCGTTGCATCAACAATGGTGAGGTGTAAATCCGTCGTCATGCCGAAGAGAACTGCTGAACCGAGAATAGCTTTGTCGTAGTATACGAGGCCATCTATACATGTTAGAAGAGCTGATGAGGATGAGACGGAACGTACATCCTATGATCATGGCGGGGATGAGAAACAAATCAATCTTTCGGACTGCGCGCGCCGCGACGATGGGATCAATCGAGTGCTGCTCCTCGCCTACAATGGCGATGGCTTCATCTCTCGTTCCCACCGGCGCCTGCGCGGCATTTACTTCACTTTCTGTTCCCATTTTGCTCTTGTGGCGAAGATATCACGAGGTTGCAATGAGCAATTGAGTTCTGAAAAACTAGCAACCAGCTCCAAGAATTGGCTACGCTGTGTCTTTTTAGTCGCAGCCAAGCAAATCAATCAAATGTCATATGATGCCTTATTAGCACGCATAGCTTCAATGAGGCAATTTTTTCATCACCATCGATAGCCGTTTTAAGCCTCAGCTGCATTCAAACACCCTTGTAGCTCATTGAGCTAAAGTGAACTACAGAGTTTTCTTAGTTGGTGTTCTGGACCTGCGGATGTGAGCCGGGATTAATGGTTCGTGGGGGTTTGTCGATCGATGAATGGCGAGATTTCACTCTACGGCCCGTTTAGATGCCTCGCTTGGAGATGCTGCACTGTATTCATGATATGATGACTAGTATACCTCGCAAAAAGACTCGCCTACACGATACCATCGCTAAGCTAGGAATGCATGTTCTATAACTTGTGATGCCCTTACCCCCCCAACGCCTGGCTAACAGTATATTCAACGACCCTGTTATCAAATCAGAAGATTCTCTTAGTACTGGGCCCAACCCATTGCACTTCTGAACAATTCCTGTTCGACCTCCACTGCTCAATTCGCTCAGTCAGCCATCCTGACTTGAAGTCCACCCATCGATCTTGGCGATCTGGCGGTGGTGGTATAACATTGCCCTTGTCGTCTTTGACTTCAGGCTCGATGATTTTCTCGGGTTGTCGTGGCTCGCCGACTCGGAAGGACTTGGAAGTAACACACTTCTTCTCGTCGCGACCTCGCCAATTGTACTGTAGACAATCGCTGCTGTCCTTACAGTACTTGCCGCACGCTTGAAATGAGTCGATTCTTGCTTCAGGCGGTGCAACTGTGAAGTCCCATTTCCCATTGTCCCAATTCTCTGCAACTTCACGATCGCCAGGGTGGTGAAACTTCCACACGTCAGAGTAAAGCAACGGGCGCTATGACGGTTAGAAGGTTAAACAAAGTTTACCGGTGATCTACTTACCCCAAGCTGTCGTTGCGCAAACTCCCACCGCCAAACTTCAACCATGTCTTTCGGCGACGACTTGTGTAGCGTCATGACAGGCTGGCACCAATACTTGTCGCTGAAAGGAATACTGTGCAGAGGATGCGGGTTGAACAGTGGCCAGTATCCCCTCAGCGGAACACTAACGTTCCACAACGCCCATCCCGTAACGCTGTCACCGCAGCAATCGTCCCGAAGCATGGGAAGCCACTTTTCCGTAGCTGGCGGTTCGACGTACTGTCCGTAGGGCGTTGTCTTACGGACGAGGAGTGCCCTCATCGCACCACGGCTGAGAACAAAGCCTGGCCCGCCGTTTGCGAACCATGTCTTTATGTCTTGTTTAACGTCGTGCGTACCCGGCGAGGGTGAGCCCATGTACAACGGCGCATCGGGGTCGAAGGTTTGGAGGAAGCGGAAAGCGTTGTCCCAGAAGACGTAGCTGTAACCGTTAGTGGCTTGTCAAACTGCGCGTGTATGGAAACTTACGTATCTGTCTCGAAGAAGAAGTAAAAGTCTTTGTTTGGCTTCATCTTCCATGCGCGCTCGATCATTGGGAGGAATTTGAATTTGTCCATCCTCCAACCTTGGATGCGCGCTGTCGCTTCCATGTCCACGTCGAGGGTGCCATTTGCCCGCATTTCCTTCTGCCACATGTAGTTCACGAAATCAGGATTATCGTGGTAGTAAATGGCGGGTAGATCGGCGAGAACATCGATCGCTTGGTGGTCGTGTACCGACTCGTCGAGATCCGAGAAGACCAGCAGCTCGTCCTGTCCAAAGCAAGCGCTCACACTATCGAATTGAGCATCGAGTCTTTCTTTCGTGTCGGCGTGGCCCATTTTCAAGACAGGTTGTATCGTCTGTAGCAAATGCTTGGGGAACGTCGCGCAAAGATCTTGGGTTGTCTTACCCTCGGGGTTGACGGACACGGGGCGAAAAGAGCTCGTCGTCGAAAAGGAATAGTACTGAGATACGCCATAGCTGCCGTGGATAGCACCCCAAAAGACAAGTATGAGAAAGATGACGGTGCAGAGACCAGCAATGGCCATGCGACTGAAGCGTTTGTTCAGCATCAGTCGCCGGCTGGAGGAGGACCAGCTTGAAGGCATTGCAGCTGGAGCTCGAACATGGCACTAGGGCCTTGTTTTGCTAAGAAATGACGATGTGAGGATTGCTTTGGGTTGTCGCGGGAAGAGACATGATGGAATGGATGGAATTGGAAAGCCGGGATAGTCTTAGGGTGACGTTTTCAAGGGGCTAGGTCCACTAAAAGCAAGCCCCTGTCGCGGAAGCAGGACGCTCTAGAATGAGTCTGGAATCGAATCTTGGGAGCGCCAGACTTTTGAGTTGACAGTAGGAAATACGAGAGACAATCGATAGGTTGTAAGCTTATGGTTAAGGTTATAATAGCTTGGCTATAGACGGAAGACATGGCTCTCACTGGTCTACACAAGCCAAACCGACACATGGCGAGGGATTTCTCTTTGTCCTGTGATGAGTCTAGCAGTGCAATTCTCTTTATGGCGATAATTTTATGAATCATTACAATATTCTAATTATATATCTCGTGAACTTCTTCTATGTTAGCAAATCGATAGTTGGGAGGGGACTGCTCGTTTCCTGACCATGCTCACTCAACATCTTGAGACACACGATGTGCATTCCTCGCCCTCACGCCCTCTCCATTCCCACTCACAGTCCTAAACACTGAACTCGAAGAAACATTTTCATTCATCATGACTCCATCCCCTGCGCTCTCTTCACCTTCAACTCTCTTGCCCTCGCTCCCAAACCTCTTTCTAACCCATGGCAAAAGGTTGTAATACCCACCACAAGCAAAAACACCACACCACAGAACAAACTCTGTCGCGTAGATGACAATACCGAGAACATCAAGCTCAGGCTGGAAGAACACGGACACAAGTGAGAACACATCGCCTGCTGCATCAATGGCGACGAAGAGAAACGAAATGCCACGGACGGTTCGGTGTTTCCAGATGTCCCAGTAGTGGGTGAGTACGCCTGCTGCGAGTAAGGCTGCGGACAAAGACGCCATGAGAATGAGAGGCCACTCTAGTGAGCTTGATTTGGCGATGCGAAGGGCGATGATGAGACCGGCCTGGATACCGCCCATCACGGCGGCAATTGGGACGACAACGAGGAGAGAGCGGTACACACTCCATTTCTGACCGTGTTAGCTTAACTACGTTTGAATAGACTTAGGGTTTGTACTCGTTCGTAGTAGTAACATTGAATCCATGTTACGAGACTCAAAAGCGTCAAGATTTGAGGCTGTATCCGCAAGGCGATGTTGAACTCTTTGACGATGTTGTACACGCCCAGCGGTACACCTGCCCATGCCCAGAGCATCATCATCGATGGTTGAAGACCCGTTGCATTGTGCCTTCGATAATTGACGATGATTTGAGGAATCAGCTACAGAGTATCAGTGCTGGTCTTCGGCGTGGGTGAGAGGACGAACCTGGATTGACCAACAGACCTAGCAACGTTAGCACGCAATTCAGCAGGACAGGCAAAGAACTTACAGCCCCGAGGGTACCTAGAATATTGGCTGCGACAGGTACATCCATTTTCGTATCGGAGGGAATCCGATGGTTGTGTCGCGAAGATGAGTGAGGATGGACGGTTTGGATGAGCACATCAAAGTTGACGCGCCAAGAATGTTAGTGTGTACTAGCAAATTTAGTATGGATGCTTAACAGCTACCATCCACACAAACAGGCAAAGTCATAGTTGCAGAATTAACGCACAAAGCTCGCAAGAACTGAAAAGACGGTGGGCAGGTATTCTTTGCATGCGGTTTAGATCTTCCAAGAACAAAGAAACACAAAACTTCTCCCATCACGCAGTCAAATCACTGGTCCAGTGTTTGTGGAATATCCATGACCCGGGAGGCTCTTATGGCTCGAAGTAATGCAGACTGGAGCTGGCGCCGTCCATATCGGAGGCATGAAAGGACCTTGATATTTGAAAGGTATAGCTATCAGTGTTTTTGGTGCTAATTCTTACTCATTAACTACTACATATAGGCATTACACACAAAAAACCTTCAAAGTCAGACGAGATGAGAAAGCGGCTAAACGATAGTATAACTCAACGGAGGCCTCCATCACCAAAGATTCGTTATGTATACACGGTACGGTAGTGAAATTCCAGGACATCAGCACAAGAGTGAGCGTTTTGAGACATGGGAGAAGACGTGAGTGGAACCTATAAGTTCTTCTCGGAACCGAATCCGAGGCAAGAAATCTAAACTCTCGGTACAGCGTCATCAATATCAGGCTTAGAAACGCGCTGACGCTCCTCCTCGGTGTTAAGTGTACACCATTCGAAGTGTAGGAGACGGTGTCTTGTCATGAAGAGGATGTAAGAGTCTGCGAGTCACCCCATTCTCAAGCAATTGGGTAGCACTCTGTAGCATACAAGTTTCTGTATGTAGCCTTTGAAGGGATCACCTTTGTATAGACCCGGGCATTGGCTGATAAGAAAAGATCGTGGCAGGAGAGTGAAGTAGAAGCAACATGTACGAAAGCAGACCTGATATACAGAGCGGCGATAATGAGGTCAGAACATACGAAAGAGCTCTCACACTCAATCTGTAAGTCATACTCTCAAAGGGCAAGAAGACCACCGACATTCGACAAAGATGCCAAGAATATATAAGTGGTCTAAAGAGCTACTAGGTTTACCGAAATCTTTTCATTGCTGTGATTAGAGATCCCAAGTTTAGGTTTCCTACCTTTCTTAGATAACGCCGTAAGAGTAAGGATCAGTCCTCTTGGCAGTGGATATTTAACATTTTGCTAGTCCCTTGCCCAAGGATGAGAAGTCCGGTTAATGCCCGTGTTGTCTGGTTAAGACCTTCTTTTTCTTCTTTAGCTCTATTCCGAGTATTGGTTCTTTTAGATCACTCTGTTCTATCTCCTGCTTAATACTGTACCTTTTCCGTGTCTGGGGTATATAATTCCAGGAAACTTCCCACTCTCCCATCATTTATCGAACCGGCCTCCAAGAACAAACGAAACTCTCTCACCAAGACCATTTTAACTTCTATCTGTATTGCCAAGTCTTCGGCAGCCGAAGATGACTATTTCTCCCAATCTGAATGCTAGGTATAAAGTGTACCTATTCTCAGCTAAAATAGATTTGGGCTTCTCTCAATGGCGTTTACAAGTGAGTTGCCGTTGCAGGGGGCGCAGTCATGACGTTGAGACTCCTCGTATTCTGAAGCACCAACATGTGATATCAAGTAGCCTGTAAACATATAAGAAAACAACTCCAAAACATCAAGAAACACTTGTTTTGTTTGCTAAGTGGTTAGTTAACAAGGCAAGATGCATTCCAGCCCAGACTCAGACTCAGAGCTTCCCTACATCGAGCCCCCTTCCAACGAAGCTCTCAAACCAATCCGCAAATCTCCTCCCTACACAGGAACGCCCCTCGTTCTCTTCCTCTCCGACATAAAAACTCTTTTTCCAGAACTTCTTCTATCTTTCGTATCTCTTTATCCCTCTGTATCCATGGAAGTCCGGCCCATTCTGTGAGCTTTACCCATCTCGGGAGAACCTCATCGACATTACAATTCACTGTATCTCTCAGTAACTCAGCTAGCTTTCATAGTTTCGCTGTTTACACAAGCATTCCTCCCGACTTTTGTGTATATTGGTTATATTGCGGTATTCTTTGGGGTTAATGAACTTGTTTGTTGGCGTTTTAATAGGGACTTCCCCACAGCGGGTTGAAGTCGAGTGAGGATGGGTTTACGAGGACTTGGCCTCGTCATGACGATGAGGCTTGGATATTCCTCAACGGTATTTGTGTTGGGTGCGTTGACCTCTCTCAGCCTTTGGACTCTACTGAATGTGACCAGCAAGAATTGGTTCCAGAAGAACATCGGCCGGATCTCACGAACATTTCATCGGCCGGTAGTTGGTATTCACAAACGAACGTAAGTCCCAGAACAACTCTTCAAATAGTCATCCTACTCATTTTCGTAGTGCCGGCGTCGTCTTCGACCTCATCCAAAGCCTTATCCAACGCGCCCTCCTCTATGCAACCCAAGACGTACGTGAATGCTACATCCTCGTTAAGAACGCCCTTCTCGATGACCACAAGAAGAAAGTAATCTTCATCCTCCACTCCCAAGGTGGAATAGAAGGCGGCATGATAATCGACAGGCTCCTCGACGAAATGCCCCTCGACAAGCTCCAAAAGCTCGAAGTCTACACTTTCGGCAACCTCGCCAACCACTTTAGCAATCTCTACCGCGGCAACGACACAAGGTCTCCCGTTATTCCCCATATTGAACATTATGTGAATGAGAAGGACTTTGCATGCCGCTTTGGAGTTCTCTACTTTACGAGGCATTATGCACAGAATGAGAATAGGTTTGCGGGCAAGGTTTTTATTAATAGAGGAGGGGGACATCAGCTGAATCAGCATTATCTTGATGATATGTTCCCTCTGGATAAGACGCTTCAGAGGGCGAGGGATGCTACAGGTGGAGACTTTATGCACAGAAGAGTTCGGGTGAGAAAGGATGGCACTGTGAAAGTGACCACCAAGGCAGAACTACCTGCGGGTTTTATCGTCACCGAAGATGAGGGGTCCAAGAATGGGATTATGAAGCCAGATGAAGTTCCCAGGATGGGAGATCTGAGTAGACTGTGGAAATATCGGAATGGGCAGTTGCCAGACTCCTTCAAGAAGGTCTTGACTGGCGGTCTGGAAAGAATTAGAGGGTAGGATATGGTGTTCTTGGAACAAGAAGAGACCGTAGCATAACATCCTGTCCATAACAAATCTCGGCACAAGGGCACAAGGGCACAACGCAATAATGTCACAGTGATCTTGAACTTGATCATTGTAAATACCTTTGCTATTTCGTTTCTTCATAGATGGGCACATTTCATGCCGCCCTTTTCCGATGTACATGACCATACCGTGATCAATACCCCGCTCCCGCTCACAGCTCCGACCTTCTCCCTTAGAATGTCGTCTGCATCTTGGGATAATCCTTGGCCTGAACATGCAAGTCGGCATAGATAGCTGCAGACTGGTCATCAGCAAGATGCTTCATGCGCTTCACATCATCATCCTCAAGATGTTCAAGCACCGTCTCGGGCTCCTCCTTTCCGTCCTTCTGGTCCTTCTTCTGGGGCTCAACAGCCTTCTCAATACCATCTGATTCGCCGATGAGAAGGATCTGGGCGTTGGGGTAGTCAAAGTGAGATGGCTTAGATGGAAGCCAGCGCAGAGAGCGGAACTCATCAATGATTCTAGCCACGTTAGCAATTGATTCATGGTAAAAGGCGTGGAGTCTTACTCTTTTGGAAAGTCGGGCCCCTCAGGCAATTGAGTGTTTTGAGGTCCTGGATACTGAGGGTTCTTGGTGCTGATAATGAAGCTTCCCTTCTCCTTCAGTCCCAACTCCTTCTGAACCTCCTCAAGCTTCTCAGGCAACGTCGTCAAATAAGCCAAATGACTCTCTCGGCCAGTCGACGTGATAGCATACACACCCTCACCAACAGGCTTAGCAGGTGGTGTACGACGTGTACCAGCAGTCTTGGTTTCATACTCGTCTGCGGACAAGAACTCCTTCTTGATCTCGTCATATGAGGCGCCAGACTTTTCGACGAATACCATGTATCGCTCTTTTCCACTTTCGGGGAGGGTCTTCTTGGGAAGAGCAAGGATGCGAGTGTTTCCGGAGTCAGCAATGGGACCATCGCCGAGACGAGCGTCTTTTGCGATGGGTCGAAGCATGATGAAGGAACGTGCGATGTCATCAACGCTCTCGGGGTCTTCGAGATTCACGCGACCGCGGATGAAGAAGTAGATGATGCCTTTTTCGAGGATGCTTGAGGGGACATCAGGTTCCTCGGACGGCTTGACAGCATCTTTGCCGTTTGTCTCCTGCTTTCCATTTGTCTCAGATTCTTTGCCGTCGACCTCTTTCTTGTCATCTGACTGGGAGTCTTTGCCATTGATTTCCTCCTTGTCAGACTTGGCCTCGGAGTCATCTTCCTTTTCCGCAGTGCTGTCATTATCCTTAGAATCATCCGAAATGACCACCACATCATCAAGAGTCGTCTGGCCAGCCTCTTTCTTGGTACGCTTCGCATCGGGAGAGTCATGCTGAATCTGGTGCTTCTCACCAGTTGCAGCCTGTTCCTCGCCATTGCTGGTCTTTTCGACGTCTTCGTGCTTTGAATCAGACATTTTGGATACTCAATGGTGTTATAGACGACAGAATTGAAGAATTGAGAGATTGTTGATGTCTAGAATAAAGACGTTCAAATGAAAAGATTGACGGAAAGTGGTGGACGCGTCGCGTTGAGTGTCGTACAGGTGATGTCATAGACATGTTGCCTCACCAACTTTCGTGTTTGCTTCGTGTTTTAGTTAAGCCACACAAATCATAGCGTCATTCTTGATTCAGATTCCGTTGTGGCTTGGTCCTTTTGTAAGTGGACTCACTCTTCATGAAATGCTATCATTGGCAGTCTTTACCATACCGAGACCACCGATATCACGCTCGAGCAGCCTCAATGCTTCTCTAGCGAAGGGAGCTGCTGCACCACGGACTCTCAATGCCCATCTGAGCTCATCGACTCGAGATGCACACCACGCCATCTCATCGAATGAGTCTGCAGTTGCCCAGAGTAGACCGGCCAGAGATCCAATCTCGGCTGCTTGATATGCTGCAGCACTGCCCCAGAATGCAGCAGTGTGCTCGGGACGTAGAGATCCTAGCAACTCAATCGCTGACTGTAGCTTGGCTCGAGCTGTCGATCGTAAAACTTCGTAAAGAGATGCGGGCGTGTCTGGTGTTGTGATTCGGACCAACGCCCGATGGAGCGCGATTTCGACAGCTGCGTGGGCGAGATGAAGAGCTCCATTGGCACATAATTCTCTCAGCTGGGTGTTTTGTAATTGCAGTCGAGCTGGTAGATTCGCGTGCCACTCTCGAAGACGAAAGACAAGAGGCTTCGCCAGTTCAACAGCAGCGACAACGCCCATCTGATCCAATGTCCCCCCAACACGAGTAGCTGCGGCACTGTAAAATGTTCGAATCACATCACTCAGAATCTGCGTCAGCTCAATGTGACGAATGAACAAGTCCCATCCGACAATGATAGGCGAAGTATGATCCGGGTTCGCTTCAGGATCCATCTGACCAAGCTCGGGATAATCTGGGGCAGTGCAAGGCCTGACATCCCAGTCATTGTCTTGGATGAGAAAGGGTCGTCCGTGAACACATGCTCCCCAGCGATCTTGCATGTACAAAGCCCAAGCGAGCCTTCGACGCAGACCGACTTCCCATGCGGGTATTGACCAAGAACTACAGTCGATGTGAATACCCAGATCTTGAGCCATGGCGACAATCTGAGCTGTGAACATCCGGTTCGACATCGGGTGCGTATGAGATCCAGACTCGACAATCTTTCGGTTTCGTTGCAGGAGAAGTAAGCCAGCCTCCAGCGTACTAAGCTTGGGCCGTCGCATATCCTGGTTGATAGTTCGTTCAGCTAGTTCTTCGAGAGCTGCTGGATCCGGGATAGATTCGACTTCGCGTCCTGCAAGCTGACTGTCGTAGAGTTGCCAATCGAGAGCTACCAAATACACTGCAGCAAGTAAAGATGGTGCAAAATGTCGGTGAGATAAACGATGCTTGCTGATAAAGACGTCTTTGTGTAAGATTGGAAAGCTGGGGTGAACAATTCGAAAGTAGAGATCGACCAGCGTGCGGCCAAGGGGGTGAACTGTCGCTTCGATGGCATCCAAATCTGCGATGCGCATCTTCTCCGAAGCAGTAGATTCATCAGGATGAACGAGGAAGACAGTCTGATAGTCCAATCGTCTAGCAAAGGTGGATGTCGTGGACAGCGGTGGAGCTTCCTGGTTCAGCAAATTAGGGCGATGGAGGTCGAGAAGAACAGGATCACGATAATCGGTTGGTCCGATATACTCAGCATGCGTCTTCAAGTCCAGGCCGAGAGTATTGCTGAGAATACTAGGACGGGACGGTTCAGGCATGTTGTCCTCAAAGGGCATCACTTGCTGCATTTGAGTGAACTGCTGGTTACTTTCCACACTCGCGGGAGTAGACGCAGCATCACCATGTCGACTCGACGGAGACGCCCCCATCTCAAGGCCCGCGACAGGCGATGTCGTAGAGTTTCCCTGATTCTCATCTCCATCTCGAGCATCATTCTGCTTCTCACGTTCCTTTTCCCGATTCTGTCTTCTCTGACGAGGTGTAGGCCCACGCAGGAACGTACAAGGCTGGTTGTGAAAAGTACATAAAACACATCTCGTCTGACCCTCCTCCTTTACACACCGCGTCTTACGAACACGGCACGTGTCACATGGTCGCGCACGGGCGCTAGCATTACCGACAGACGCCCCGGAGGTAGCCATCAGAGGACGGCCAGATCCGGAGCCGGACCGGGAGAGATCAGACTGGCCGGCGCCGTGAAGCGGGTGCGAGAACATGACCCCACTGGACGCGGGCGTTCTATGTCTGAGTCTGGCTTGTGATAAGAGACAAGGGGCCCATCTTCTGGCTGTGGGCCGACCAGTTGACGAAGCGGGAGTCGAGGTCGTGTCGTGGGCGTACGGCGTGATAGTGAGCAGCCATCCATTGTTGATGATCCGCCATTGGGGGCCGCGCCTTATCAGTTCGTCCTGCTACGGTAAGGTCGTAATACGATAAGGAATCATCGGAGATGGGAATGCCCCACGGGGTCGGAAATACGGGGAAACGGATATACCGATGGACGTTGGTTCATTGTGAGACTTGAGTTGATCTGGTTGAAGAGAGGAATTGGCCATGTCTGAATAACTTCAACTCGAGTATATCTTCTGTGATACATACGAAAAGTCCATCATATGTCGATCTGTCGCAAATAACAGAAGTCCCTCCACTTTAAGCCCGCAAGCCGGGGATCCAATAGCATAAGCCATGTCTCAATCACGAGCTTGCCTCTGCATTGTCCTTGCTCCCATTGCCTCAGACATGCATCAACTCTCGAAACGATACATCCTTTTCGAGTAAATTGACTGGTAATATACGATCTCGCCGCCGGCCAAAACAGATAGTCCATCGTGGACCAGGTTGACAACCACTTTAGCCGCCGGCGAGTCCCATGATTGGCCGAACTTTTCTGGGTCTTCTTATCGTGGACTATGAGCTGACGATCTATGAAACAAACAAAATTAGTAAAGAATTCAACTTCAATTGACTTGGAAAAATGCGTTGAGCAAATGAATTGAAAGCCATTGACTTGCCTGTTATTCCCGCACCTGAAGACGGGGTAAACGTCCGGAAACAACACGGACTAAGAGCGAACTTGTAAACGGCTTAGACTCGGCGATAGCGTAATTTTCCACATAATCTCAACCCCCAGACTCAACCTTGACTCCTTCTCACACTCATCCACGTGCATGTCCAGCACTCAATTCGTATAATACCGTACAGCCAGACCTCAGTGTTTGGCCGCCGGGCCTTCGGCAAGTTCGCCCTCTTGAAAGCAGAGGTGTTGTTGTGTTATCAGTGAACATGAAATCGTTTGGCTTCGTGATCCTCGAGGCTATGCAAGTTTACGAATCTCGGAAACTCGAACCCGTTGAGACGATTCCGCAGTGTTACCTTCAGGCTCATCCGACTTGATCTGTTGGGGGAATTAGTATAAATATTGCTGTTTGGTTGTGCAAGAAACTGCTTCGATAAACAGCAGTCTTGTTCTTACCTTGCCTATAACCTCACCTAGCTTCCTTTGAAGATCTTGTTCCTTCATCCCCCTGACACCATGACCGAGCCCTATACTGCCATCAAAGTCGTGGAACATCTTCCAAATGGCAAGACGGATTCATCCCCTTTGACTATTTCTCAGTGGAAATCTGCCCAGATTGCCGGAGATGGCCTCGACCGACTCCTCTCCCTCGTTTCATCCGAGAGAGCAGCTAATTTTACAACTAAAGCTTGGATATCGCTAGCTTCTCCTGAACAGATCAAATCCCAATGGACATCCCTTCAGACCTTGACCTCTGACACCGCGTCCCTCCCCCTGTATGGAGTCCCCTTCGCTGCAAAAGATAATATCGATGCCGAAGGCTTCATCACCACTGCTGCATGTCCAACGTTCAGTTCTACCCCAGCTACTTCAGATGCCACAGTGATTGCGAAGCTCAGAGCCGCTGGAGCAATCCTTATTGGAAAGACGAATCTCGACCAATTCGCTACTGGCCTGGTCGGTACGAGATCGCCATACGGTGCTGTTCCTAATTCCTTCGACCCCAGTCGTGTCAGCGGCGGTTCCAGCTCTGGAAGTGCTGTCGTTGTCGCTCGTGGCATAGTGCCCTTCTCTCTTGGTACGGATACAGCTGGTTCTGGTCGAGTTCCAGCAGGGTTCAACAACATCGTGGGATTGAAGCCAACCCGTGGTGCTTTGAGCACTCACGGCGTACTTCCTGCATGCAAATCTCTCGATTGTGTGTCCATCTTCACCCTTACGGTTGGTGATGCAGAAACAGTCTTATCTGTCGCGGAAGGATACGATGTCCAAGACCCATATTCTCGAGCGCGACCTGACCCTGACATTGCCCCTTTTGATGAGTTCGGAGGCTCAGCAAGCCTTACTAAGCCCTCTCTCGCAATATGTGCCTCTCCAGACTGGTTCGAGCGAAACGACCATTATCCAGCGTACGAAAAGGCTCTCGCCAAAGCAGAAGCCTTGGGATGGGGCCTCGTTCAAGTGGACTTCTCCCTCCTCTTTCGACTTGCGCGACTCCTGTATAACGGCCCGTGGGTTGCCGAGCGGTACGAAGCCATCCGGGGCTTTATCGAGAGCGCCGCTGCGGAAGAAATGGATCCTGTCGTGCGAAAGATTATTATCAGAGCCCAAACCCTTTCCGCCGCGGACGTCTTTGAGGGTGAATACCTTCGTCAAGAACTTACACGTCAAATTGAGCGGGAATTCGCTCAGTTCGATGGCCTCTTGGTACCCACATCGCCAACATTCCCCACGCTTGATGAGCTCGTCAAGAACCCGGTCGAGGAGAACTCGATTCTGGGTACTTATACCAACTTCGTCAACTTTCTGGACTGGTCGGCGCTCTCTATCCCTGCAGGCTTTCGACCAGATGGACTTCCATTCGGTGTGACGCTCATCTCGACCCGTTGGCAAGAACCATTTCTCCTGTCATGGGCTCGGAAT